AGCTCAGGTTCATTACAATAGCTCAGGTTGTATTTTTCTTTGATTATGTGTAAAAGAACCCCGAGCCTTCCGACTGAATAAATCGTTGTTGTCATCATTCTCGAGTATCACGTTATTCTTGTATGGTAATGCCTTGAAAAGGTTTCTGTTGAATGTCACTGCGAGCATCTTCCCCTGAACGGTCACAACACTAAACATGTAACCGCTAAGAGCCTCTTCGGAATCGCATATCAAGACGGCTGACGTCTTTCCGTCCAAGGTTTGATTGAGAACAATGTTCACCTGGTCCAGGGTGACGGCCCATGACGTTCGACGTGAGCTGAGCGATTTACTCCACAGTAATTTAGAGCATGGATGTTCGTTAGTTTGCTGCGACATCTAGCTTATCGGAAAGGTTGTTGTGTTTAGGATACGACGGTCCTTGCATGGTAAAAGTCTATGAAAATGGAATGTATAACACGCCATCACTGTTTCAAGCAATAAGTGCAAAGACTTAAATGTGCGAGTCTCTCCAAGTTTGTAGCACATGCATGCACAATTTCTGAGCATCACGTCAAACACATCGCATTCATTACATTTGTTTATTACGCGGATCGTGCATACGTTGTCTATATCGTCCAACGTACCCTGCGTAATGATCACATCGCCTCTAGTGCAATGTTTTGCTATGTACTCATCTAACAGTCTAGGATGTACTGGACCCCACCAGCATTTGTCCAAATCTTGCATAAACAACGGTAACGTTTCGTTTAGCAGGGAGAGGTTCGTATATGCGTTCACAGTGAGACCATGTGTAGATTCTAGTGTATTCATTTTTTTTCCAAGAAAACTTAGCGAATGTGTGATATGTAACAACTAAGCAATTACCTCTCACACTAAGAACACGGTTTAATGAAAACGCTTCTCATAATTTGTATGTTTCAATGCCTTTAATAACACAATGTTTTACATATATATGCTTGTTATAATGTGAGCGTGCCAAACACATCCTAGGTCGATAGCATACAAGCTGAATGAACCAGAGTGCGTTATGTTGTTCCTCATACGCTGCGTACAAAGCCCATTGTGTACAAACGATGTCCTGGCCGTAAGTCGAATTTGACAAACGAACGCGGCATTTCGTATTCAGACACGATCGTTTTGTGTCCTTCGGTAACAATTAGTATCTTGACCAGTTTATCACTCAGGCTTTGCATTAGCATGTCTTTATGTTTTTTTTGGTCCCATATCAAACCGACGCTTTGTACTCATCCTTCACGTACGCTTATCTCGAGCATAGGTCCACACGACACATATGCCCCTTTTCTACTGTCACAGTGCAGATCAGATCAGTTCGGGTCGGTTCAGATCAGCTCGGGTCTGTTGCGTTTCCATATACATTTCTGGACCAGCTCTGTAGGCGGGGACTAGAATCCAACTCGTCTTACCACCTGGTGGCGGTAGTGCTCCCTTAAGCTACTTACTAGCCACCACCAAACGTATTAGAAGAAGAACACCCTGAAGGCTTTGTCACACGATGTTGTGGAAGAGATGTCATGCTCTAATGGAGTACCTCATGAGCTGTAACTTTTAAACCTGATTCATAATCCTACCTTACTGCCTTCCCTGCCTGCTTTAAATCCATGTTTTTCATTTTAGTATAGATTTTTACAATAAAGATGTATTAAAAATATCTTCACTTTTATTATTTACAGATATGCACAAGGTTTATGTTAAAATTGCAAAACATCCCACTGTGCTGTAATCTTTGAAACTGCTTTTACAATAAGATACAGACTTGAAAACAATTAGGTTAAATTTTGTCCTTGAATTTTAAAGATTTGTCTTTCATTAAATTTAAAAACATACTGTAAATGTATTACTCATTAATCTAAAAAAGTCAAGTCTGGTCCTCTGGACATTCAAAAAACAAAACAAACAAAAAACATTTATTGTTTATTTATTATAAACTGTATTGTTTGTTTTGTGAATGTCCAGAGGACCAGACTTAACTTTTTAGATTTTTCCACCTGAATTATTGAGCAGCATCAGGATATTACTTAATAGATAGTCAGTTGGTCTGTGAACATCATGGGTTCCTAGAAGAGTTGAAGAGGTGGCTGTTGATGTCTGTGCCTCCCTGGTAAAGATGCTGCCCCCACAACCCTGAAGCAGAAGATGATGGATGGATGGATGGACGGATGACGAAGGAGGAGACCATCAAACACAGCAGGAGTGGTCAGTTCAGTTGAACACCTGCCTGTTTGCTTCAGATCAGCTGTTCAAATAAAAGGTGCACCAGGACTTTCAGCTGAATCTCTCAGGCCACAGTTGTATGGCCGATAAATGATAACTGATAACAGACAACTGTCTTTTCTGAATTTTTGACTGTTTTTGTCTCACTTCATCCTAGAACCAAAAAATGTATAACATAATAACAGTTGAGCATATTCTGCTAATCTTTTCTTAGGATTCATTAAAGATCAAATGCAATTGGAAATTCTTCTCAACTTCCAGTATGAATTTAAACAAACACTATATGAACTTAACATTGTAAAATTTGTTTAGGAAATTTAATGTTCAAGGACACCACTTAAGAAAAAAATTGTTTAATAGGAAAAGTAAGAAGTGAAAAATGTACAAAAATAAAAAATACTGCGTCCAACTAATGATTGTGTATCTGTCTGTCCCTTGTCTCACGGGCTCATCCAGAAGAAGACACGAGTGTTGTTCCTGCTGTGTCCGGTTCAGTTCTTCATGTTCATTCAGTGATGAAATAAGACTTTTCTTTACTGGACTCTTTTCTCTTTCTCTTCACTAGAAAGAAGAAAAAGGTGGTTAATTCAAGCTACATACTGTTTTTGAATAAATGCATAAAACAAAAAAAGGTGCAGCTAACAGCTATAATAGATATATTAATAATAATAAACTGATAAATTAAGAAAATGAAAAATAAATTGATTTAAAAATAATGAAAATAATATAATAATAATAATGGATATATGAATCAGAAAGTATTATACAGATACAGAGATTCTTTATTGTCATTCGCACCCCATGTGGTACATGTGGTGGATCAAAATTATGTACACAGGGTCCCAGTTACATCCAACAATAAAATATAAAAGAAAAACAGTAATAAGATCTAAGATACGAACTAAGAAAAACATCAACTAAAAATATGATAAGCTCTAATAGCATAAAAACATTAAACACAATACGTGAACAGCAGCACGGACATGAGTCTGTGTGAACAGACGAGCATGCATGAACACAGCAACATGAAACAGATCAGCAGCAACATGAAACTGATCAGCAGCAACATGAAACTGATCAGCAGCAACATGATGTGATTATTCACAGTGTTATATATTCATAAGGCTGCACAAACTCAAGTTCATGTTGCTGTTTGACGTATTGTTTTGATTGTTTACTGCTATTAGTGCTTAGTGTTTTATTAGTAGATGTTTTTTAGTTGATATTTTTCTTAATTCATATCTTAGATCTTATTACTGTTTTTCTTTTACATTTTGTTGTCTGTAACTGGGACCCTGTGTACAAAGTACATAATTTCCTCCCAATTCAGTATTTATTCAACATTTTATTTTTTTACTTTTAAATAAAATAAATCAAGTCCTTATCGGCACAAATAAAGTGATGTGGAACATGTTGCATCTGTTCTTACCGAGCACAGAAGGCTGCAGCGTTGTGCTGCTCTGTGAGGTGCAGGTGGGCTGTGAGCCTGTGATGGAGCTCTGTCAGGTGTAGACTCTGCTGATGGAGCAGGAGCAGAAGCCAGGAGGCTTGGAGGGTTTAATGTGGAGTTTAGAGACGAACCATCACGCGCTGAAATACGTTCTGGATAAAATACAGTGAGAAACAGTACCGGAGGACAGCTAGCGTTTATGCAAATTAGCTTAGCATCGTAGCACCGACGTTGTCCTATTATGGCGTCAGCCTCTTTTGTTAGTTAAAAATATGTTGAGAACCGATGGGATGAGTAACTTAAAATATGTTTAAAGTTAGAAAACACTCACCATCTTCTATAAATGATTCAAGTAGAGCAGTGGCCGTGTCCAAACCACCCTCCAATCCTCCAGCTAGCTCGCTTTGACTTTTTTCGTTGGCCACCAAGCACAACACCTGCACTTCTGCATTTGACCACGGCTTTGATATTATTGTTTTTGTATAGCGTCAAAATACTAAAAGATAAGCTCCTCGCGTTATCGCTAATAGCAAGCGGGAGAGAAAAAATGGTGGATCGGGTTGTTTGGAAAGACTCCACAGACTCCTCCCCCGACCAATCAGTGACCAACAGTGTTTCTGACGTCACAGCGTGGCTCACTTGGACCCCTTGAGAAGCCGGGCCAGAATTTAGGGAGGCGAGCCGGTCACAGGAACAGTGGAAAGACCTCAAACGCGCGTGAAGCCGGAAATATCCGACCCGCGCCATGATAGTGGAAAAGGGGCAATAGTTCCGCAAACAGCGTCTGTTAGAAATCGTGAGAGTCAGAACCGTGGGCCGTGTAACGAGTACCATGCAATTTGAATCAAGCATATTCCACCCCTGTCTTTGCAGGTCGTAGACAACGGGCTCATTGTTATCATCCATGTTCTCTATGCGAACAGATCCGCAGACGTCCGCGACCGGATGGTAAATCGGTGCTAAGTTGATATCTCTCACGTATGACATTGTTAAGAATTGCATATTACATTTCCAATGGATATGTGTTCAGAGTTTAATAGTACAAGGATGCGTTTGTGAGTCCTCCCGTATTGGTGAAAGGGCACCGATAGCACGCCACATTGCCTTATTCGTCGTCGCATTACACGTACTGTTACCAGGTGCTGTTTAAAAATACATCCCAACACTGAGAATGTATGTAAGCATACGTTTTTAATTCAAGATGTAAGCATTAGTTTTTTTTCTTCCAGAGACATACAAATAACACCATAAAACATAAAAATACATTAAATGTTATGTTTTATTCCACAGAAAAAAAAACACAACACAAATTACATCAGCTCACGATCAAAAGTCGGCATCGAGTACAAACGAGTGTCCGTTGTTCTTTGCCATTAAACCTTGTTTCTGGTATTCTCCTACTCGTTTCTCGAAGAAGTTCGTCTTGCCCTCCAAGGATATGAATTCCATGAAATCGAAGGGGTTTTGCGACTTGTACATCTGTATATATCGAATTGAAATCGATTAAAGTGAGCAATGTCAGTGATCAGCTGTGTGCGCATCAACAGATACATCGCATACCTTCGCGAACCCCAGCTCTGCGAGCAATCTGTCGGCCACGTATTTTATGTATCGTGCCATCATCTCACAGTTCATACCGATCAACTTCACGGGTAGCGCCTCGGTCAGAAACTCCTGTCAAAATGTACAGAAAACCTTAGAAAGGTGAATCTGCGACATCCCACTTCATTACAAACTCACCTGTTCAATCCGCACGGCATCGCGAACGATGTCTCCTGCGTGGGTTTGTTCCTTATGTGCTTGAACATCAGACAAGCGAAATCGCAGTGTAAGCCCTGTGAGAAACATGACAGTGTATTTGTATACGACCCGATAACACACCTCGTCTCTGCTGATCAGTTCATTACTGAACAACAGCCCGGGCATAAGACCTCTTTTCTTCTGCCAGAATATAGCAGCGAACGAGCCCGAGAAGAAGATTCCCTCTACGGCAGCGAACGCCACGACTCGTTCGCCTGTACAACGAGTAGAACAGGGGCGGACTGGGACAATAATCCAGGCCGGGAATTTTGATACCATCCCAGGCCACCACCACCTGATTAACGCAAACCACCAAGACTGAGTTCAATTGAGCGCACTTTGAATGCATGTTGTTTGCACACGTCTAACTGAGTTTTCACTTATTGACTATTTATATGTATTGGCTATTCATATAACAAAAAAAAAGGTCTTAATCTCAACGGAACTTTACCTGGTAAAATAAAGTTTAAATAAAATATTGTAATACAAGGATTTTAATATTCAGATAATTTATTGGAGTAATGAAGGGTATACACAAAATATCCTCAATAATCCAGGTAGAAATTCTAAAAAAGTTAAGTCAGGTCCTCTGGACAGATTAAAAAAAAAAAAAACTTGTTGAAACGTTTAGTCTTTAATCCAAAAGACTGTCAGTTTGAGAAGCTGCAACAAACTTAGTTTCAAATAGTCTCTTTTCATAGTGGATCAACCAGTTTGTTGCTGACATCCAGAACTAGCTGTTAACATGATAAAGGAGGACCATCATCAGCCTAACAATGGATCGTTAGTGCTCTAGGCTGTTTGCTATTCACAGGGGGCTGAGAGATACCAGCAATAACAGCATTGTAAGAGGGCTACAGTTGGACACAGAGGCCTCTGTCCCTGTTTAATGATGGATGAGTTCTCATCACAAAGATGGCTTCCTTTACTCCTCTCTCAAACCAACACTTCTCTATCAAGGATGAGCACATCTTCATCCCTGAAAGTGACTGCTGGCCTGCAGATGAGTGTAAACCACAGAGTTCTCCTGGCCTGATGATGTTGCTCTTTGGCCCAGCACAGAAGAGCAACATCTTCAGGCCAAGACTCGGCAGTTTACACTCATCTGCAGGCCAGCAGTCACTTTCAGGGATGAAGATGTGCACATCCTTGATAGAGAGGAACTATGGTTTGAGAGAGGAGTAAAGGAAGCCATCTTTGTGAAAAGAAACCATTGTTAGGGGTTGTTAGGCTGCAGGTCTTCCTTATGTTAACAGCTAGTTCTGGATGTTAACAACAAACTGGTTGATCCACTATGAGAAGAGGCTATTTGAAACTGAGCTTGTTGCAACTCCTCAGACTGAACTTAGTTTTTTGGATTAAAGACAAAAGTTTCAACAAGTTTTTTTTTTATTTGTCCAGAGGACCTGACTTAACTTTTTTAGATACAAAAAAATCTGAATTCCTAGACATTTCAACATTAAACTTTTTTCAGATCCTAACCCATATTATAAAATTTGCAATATTCTTTGTAAAAACTTAAAAACATTTGTTATATTAAGTCAGTTTTGGCCCACTTCGGTCCCTCAAAGTGAAGCTAGCATGTGGATATTAAGCTGTGCTGATAAACTGTGCCAGAGTTCAATTTTTTCAACACAAGTGTTTCTCTTACCTGCTCCATTACGAACAAACATTAATTTATAGCACTTAGCAGCATCCGCGGCCAGAGCTTTTCTCTTTTTTATCCTCTCTCTCTCTGCTCCACCTTTCCTCTTCTTTGGCTGTCTCTGTTGCTCCATTCTACGAGATGCACGCACCGCGCGCCAACACCGTCGGGAGCGCGAGTCCTAGGGCGGGGAGGGGGGCGGGCGCAATGTGTGTGTGTGTGTGTCTCTGCTCTGTGAGTGACACACAGAAAAGGAAGGGAGGGGGCCGGCCCGGCCGGGGGATGTGCCAGGCTTTCTCCGTCGCTGCAGTGCAGCGTGAGACCTGAGCCCAGGCAAAAGTGAATTGTTTATTTAAAATAATAAAGTCCGTGCGACCCGAACCGAGCCTTTAGTCCCGTTCCTCGGCAACCAGGCCACCGGGAATTGTCCCGGCGCTCCCGATGGCCAGTCCGCCTCTGGAGTAGAACCATGTTACCTAACGACAATACTCAGAACCACTTAGTGTGAAAGTCACTGTAACGCCTACCATAAGTGGCTTCTGTGTCGTGTATCCATCGCAGCGCCCACTCCGCTTTTTTCGTCACACAATTCATCGTCTCAATCGCGTTCAAGAGTTGCGCACTGTGAAATCGTGTAAACGTGAAACGTAAGCGTATTGCGATAGAAAATAAATGCGAAGACGCGAACAATACAAACCTTTCGGCGATGTCCTTTACGTAAGTTTGTATCAACAGACTGTACATCTCTGAGTGTACGTTTTCCATCGCGATTTGAAATCCATAGAAATATCTAGCTTCTGCGATCTGGACCTCATTCATGAAATGGTTCGCCTACAGGGCGGGAAAAAAAAGAACACCTCAATGCAATTTAGAGACAATCTATGCGCGCCTACTCTTCGCAGCTGCGTACCAAATTTTCATTTACAATCCCATCGCTCGCAGCGAAGAACGCAAGAACGTGTTTTATAAAGTGGTGTTCTTCATCCTTAAGAGCGTTCCAATGATTTAAGTCCTCGGATAGATCAACCTGCGAACACGATAGATGTCACCGTACACAATATTGATGTAATGAAGAGCGTCACGTCAAATTCGACGACTCACCTCCTCGACGGTCCAGGAACAGGCCTGTGCCTTTTTATACATCGTCCAAATGTCATCATACTGAATAGGAAAAAGAACGAAGCAACCGGGGGTGGGATGAAACAAAGGTTCGTTGCTGATGTTCATGTTTGCTACGATACTCCTTATCGCGAAACTCTGTTATGCCTAATGCGACTTGTGAATCGAGAGATCTCACACCTGTGTTTATATTAACCGTGTCAAGTGGGGAGGGTGCGAATCAACG